AGTGTTTTCGTTGGCATTTCTCTAGTTATGAGTGAAGTTGAGACTTTTTTAAGCCACTTGATTTCTCTCCAAACTGCTGGTTTATGTTCTTTACATATTTCATATAGGGCTAAATCTTTGAAGATTAAGGAGATGAGCCCTTCTGTCTGTCACGCATGATGCACTCATTCCCGCTTTGTTTTCTACCTTGGTTTATAGTATATTTTACACAGTTTTAAATTTTTAAGTATTTAGGGATCAAAATTTCTTAAGTATTTAGGGATCCTGAGTTTAGTGTGTTCCATTATTATCTTATTATTATAAATTCACCTATTCTTTTCTCTAGAGATTTATGGTCTATTTTTAATATGTAAATCCTTTATCCATTTGGAATTTATTTTGACTTAAGGAATGGAATAGTGTGCCCACTTTATTTTTTCCCCAAATAATTAGCTAATTTTTCAGCCACCTTTTTCTCCTAATTTAAATGTTACCTTAAACAGATAAAATATCTGGTTTTCTATTCTGGTCCACTGGGTTGTCTGTTTCATCTCTGGGTACCAAATTGCTTTACAAATTATAAAATTTCATAATGTGTTTTGTCATCTGATAGGTCTAGCCCCACCGTATTACTTTTCTTTTCCAGGACATTCCTGGCTCATTTGCCTTTTTGAGCTTCATGTCATTTTTTGGACAAGTTCCCCACCTGACAAACAAACAGACAAAAATACAGTGAATCACATTGACCAAAAAAAAAAAACAACAAACAAACCAAAAAACACATTGAATTCATAGATTAATGGAGCACTGACATTTTTATAATATTGAGTTCTTTCTATTCAAAAGCACAGGATAGAAATTTCCCTCTCTAATTTTAATATTATCTTTATAAAGGCCCTTAGATGTCTTTAAAATATTTTTCTAAATATTTTATCTCTTTTATTGTAACTGCAATTTCTTCTTATTATATTTTCTGACAAGTTGTATTTTTTTAATGTAAAGGATGTTTTGCATATTAACCTTGGAAAGTGCCATTATCCAAATTCCCTCCTTTTTTTTTTTTTAAGATTTTATTTATTTTTTTTTGTCAGAGAGAGAGAGAGCACAAGCAGGGGGAGCAGCAGGCAGAGGGAGAAGCAGGCTCCCTGCTGAGCAAGGAGCCCGATGTGAGGTTTGACCCCAGGATCCTGGGATCATGACCTGAGCTGAAGGCTGATGTTTAACCGACTGAGCTACCCAGGTGTCTCTATACTAAATTTTCTTATTGTCTCTAACAGTTGTGCATTTATACATTTATACATAATTTTGCTAGTCTGTTAAGGTTTGGTTGTTTTAAGCAAGGATGGTTGTGGGATATTTGTCAAATGTCTTTTTGGCATCTATTAAGATATTATATAGTTCTCCTTTGATCTGTTAATATGTTCTATTTTATTAGAGATTCCCTAATATTATTGAACCATTTGCATTACTAGGACGAACTTACTTGGATATGATGGATGATTCTTTTGAGATATTGTTGATTTGTATTTGCTAATATTTTGAGGTTCTGGGGGTTTTTTGCCTCTCAAGTTCAATCATATTTAATTACCGTTCAGATTCTCCACGTTCCCTCTTACCATTTGTTTTCTTGATAGGTCATGAGCTGATGGGGTCGATTTAAATGTCCTCTTGTGCTTGATCCAATTTCTACCTGCATTATCTGTATATTGTTATTCTGAACTGTCATATCTTATTCTTGACTTTGAAGCTATAGAGATTTATTATAGAGGTGCATAGAGATTTCTAAAAACTAGATTCTTAATGTGGGTACTGCTCTCTCTACCGTTCAGCTTCCTTGCGCCTCATTTAACAGTTTCATTTTTAATTTAACCCTGGCTGATGGTAACTGAAGCCTAAGCCCAGTATTTTCTTGTATAACTTGGTTTATATTAAATTTTTAATTTTCCTAAGTTATTTTGGTAAAGATACATCTCTTCTATGCAACATACAATAGGAGATCATTTTACAATTCAACGTGAGAGTCTTTTTTCTATTATAAGGATGGGTTTATCTACTTACATTTGTTGATATAACTGATATATTAGTTTTAATTCTGTCATCTTATCTCTGTTATGTTTTCCATTTTAATACTTCCTCTGTTTTCTGTTTTACCATGTGTATTTTTTTGTCTTCTTTGATATGCATGTGTGTGCGCACATGTGTTTGTATTTTTGTCTGATGATTTGAAAGTTTACAGTCTGTTTCTGATTTTTCTAGTGGTTGCCTGTATATTGATTTATTTCTCTGCCAAGAGAAGAAAATCTTCAAATGTAAGGCAAAGAGTCATTTTCTCAAAGGCTGAGCCTTGACACCACAGTTCTGTCTTCAAATTTTTGGTATCTTAGCCTCGACATGAAAAATGGTTGTAGTCTCACCCTGAAGCCAAAGGTTCAGGGTAATCAAGGCATTGAGCATGCGGCTGAGCTGCTGCTTGAGCTAGTCACGGACAGCCGAGCGCTGCTGGTGCCACAGAGACAGGCTGTACGTCGTGTCTTATTTCAGAGCCTCACGTGAAGATCTTTCCCCACCAGCCAGTGTACTTTGTTCAACAGTGTCTTGTACTTGCTGTCCATTTCTCTGCACAGTATCTGAAGAGACGTAGTCAGAGAGGCCATGAATTGAGTGCATTGACTCTTCTTGCTACTTGTTTTCACACATACCGAGATCAGGAGCCAGATTGTTGCCTGACAGCTGGTCTTTGTGAATACAGTGGTGTGTGTTGGTGTTCTGATGCAAGGGGGGTGTGTGTGTGTGTATGTGTGTGTTTTCTTTTAAATCTGTGAACTGATGCTGGTAGATCAGTCAGCATACCAACAGATAAAAGTGCACTCAGAAGAGGATGATTTTAGGAAAGCTTGTTTACAAGGACTATTTACAAACATGTAGGTGTAGGAGCACCTCCCTCGGGGGATGTTGCAATAGCTGGACGGCACAGCAGAGCTGTTACCATCAACAGGCCTGAAGGGAAAGGGGATGGTCACCAGAAAGGAGAGAACTGAGCAGAGGAGGCTGGCTAACTTGGGAGGCCCAGTGCCCCCCACCCTCCCTGCTGAAGAACCGTATCCAACACAGGAAGACTCACAGGCAGGGAACCAAGGGGCTAAATGCCCATTTTCACTCTCTTCCCTCTCCTTTTCCTGCTGGGTCCCCATAGCTGACCCCAGCTGGAAGCCAGAAGCTCATTCATTTCATCTTACAAGAAATTTAGTGATAAATAGAACAAAGAGTCATCGCTTAGGCTTCCCTCATGTTTTTCTGAAAATATGTGGAGAGCTGATACATCAGGGGTACACCCATTAGGAATGCTTTCGATTACCAGTACCAAAGAATCCAAGTTACAGTGGCTTTAAACATAGAGGGGTTTACTTCTGTACTGTAACAGGAAGGCTGGATGTAGGCAGCCACTGACATTCAGTAATGTCATTGCTGATGTCTCTAGAATTTTCTCAGCCTTTACCTTGTGCTGGTTGCTTCATATCTGCAAGACGACGGCCCAGCACCAGGCATCATGACCACAGTTAAGTTAGGAAAACGGGGAAAAGGGGTACCAGCATGTATGCCCATTTGATTCAAAACAAAAACAAAAACTTTCATAGATATACCCTCAGCAGACTTCAAAGCATATTTCATTGGCCAGAACTGATTTTATGGTCTCTTATAGCAGCCAGGGAGATTGGGAAAGTGGGAAATGGGCTGGTCGTGATGGATTTAGACTACTTGTAATTAACTGCCTGAGATTGGAGATGTTGGTGCATGGATCAAAATCAGGAATCTGTTATCAGGAAAAGAAGGGATGGAATAAATTCTGGATCAACAATGAACAAGGCTTACCACAAGTGGTTTTATTCAACAATAAAGCCAATTGTCTGCCAGCACTTACTCAGGACAGAAATTGCTCTTTCACACTATGTGCTATTGATTTTATGTGACATCTGAAAGTGTTGTTTGATTAAGTAATTTTGCCCAAAGCTTGCTCTGCTTTTCTCCAGTAGCCTATGATTTAATTTATAAGCCACGGTTTGAATCGTGTGTTGGTTTTCGCTTTAAGTTAGATAACTTTAATGGTGCTTCTCTGGTTTTGATCTTTTCTCTGTCTTTAGTGGCAAAATGCATCATTATCACACAGACATGATTATTTCACCCATATTCTGGAAGGATTTGATTGGTTTTCTACCTAGCTTGCAGGGCCTGATGTGAAGATGATGCAAATGTCTCAGTGGGCCTCGTGCCACTATTTGACAAAGTTTCATAATAGACAATGCCTCAGGGAAGAGGAAATGCATTACCAGCTAACAAAATCCTACTTTCAGATATCCATTCCCACATCTGTCTTTCTGATTCACACTTTTTTTTCCACTTATGTAAAATCATCTTCTTCTACACACTCATCTACCCTGGTATATATGATCGCATTTGATGTTGCACAGTTTTGTTACTATTTCCAATACTCCTTTTTTGCTTTAACAAACCTCTTTTGAACTACTGTTTCACCTTTATGATTTGGGGTCCCACTACCATAGCGTAGTTAACAACAAAATGGAAATATGACGAATGTAAACAATAACATGAATGTGGTTGAAAATATCTTAGCAGGGGCTCCTGGGTGGCTCAGATGGTTAAGCGTCTGCCTTCGGCTCAGGTCATGATCCCAGGGTCCTGGAATCAAGCCCCGCATCGGGCTCCCTGCTCGGCGGGAAGCCTGCTTCTCCCTCTCCCACTCCCCCTGCTTGTGTTCCTTCTCTCGCTGTCTCTCTCTCTGTCAAATAAATAAAATCTTAAAAAAAAAAAAATCTTAGCAAGTTGAACTACAGTTAATGTCACTCTCTTTACTAAATATGAGCTGAATCGAACTGGCCAAATAAGTTCTGGTGGCACAGGGGCACCGACCAAACAGTGATGATCGTTGCAAGGTAATGGATTTGTACGGAAATCATCACTTACCTCACATTTTTTAAAAAGATTTATTTAGGGGCCGGGGGGGAAAAAAAAGATTTATTTATTTATTTGAATGAAGGGTGGAGGGGCAGAAGGAGAGGGAGAGAATCTCGAGCAGACTCCCTGCTGAGTGTGGAGCATGATGCAAGGCTCAATCTCAGGAAGCTGAGATCATGACCTGAACCGAAATCAAGAGGCAACCGCTTAACCGACTGAGCTACCCAGGCGCCCCACTTATCTCACACTGATGAAATGTACATAAACAAAATTGCTTGTCAGTGTGGCAGACTCTGCCACACCCTCCTCGTGTCCGGTGGCACTCCCAATTCCCACACGTGCTCACGGCGTCTCACTGCAAACACATGCTGAACCTGGGGTATTTCTCTGGTCACAGGATGGTGCTCAACTGGCATGCAGGGCAGGCTGGGAGTGCCAGGGAGCTAACGCCCCAGATGCAGCCCTTTACCCGAGCGGACTAGGGTGGGGCTCTCCGAGGCATGTTGCACACAGCATCCCAGAGGCCCCAGTGGGGCTGAGCCTCAGTTGCCCACAGCAGCAAACACGCATCAACACACCGTGTGGTGGTTTCCTTCCCTTCCCTACCTCCTGGTCTCTCCATTGTCCTTCATGGGATCACTTCCCAAGTGAAACACTTCTACTCACATCTTTGTCTCAGGGTCCGCTTCTCGGGGAAATGAGCCCAAGGTCGTTTTTTTTCTCTCAAATTCCCTGCTGGCCATGAGACTCATGAGCCCCACTTTAGGAAGGGCTTCTCTAGACGACTCTGCTGATTTTACAAATGCCTGAGGCCCAGAGCCGAGGGTCATTCTGTAGTCACAGGCAGGCCCAGTCCCCTGTGATGGAACCAGTGCAGGAGAAGGCCTGGAGGCCTTTAGGGGCTGCATTAGAGGGTCTGACCCGAACTCCTGATGTGACACACAGGGACCTTGAGGAATAAGGGATGGGGCGGCTGAGGGGCTGGGCCTGACCGCTCTGCACCTCCACATTCCCGAGCCCCTCCCAGCTTGTGGTCCAGTTCCTGCTTCCTGGCCCCCACCACTGAAATGGAGGTTTTTCTGGGTCTTTCTTTCCTGGGTCTTTCCTGAAGAAGTCCTCCCCAAATATCCCATACATACACATACATGCGTCTCTCTGGGATCCCAGCTCTGTGGATCTCAAAGATACTGTGGGATGGATTCATGTCCACAGCAGAAGGGGAAACATTTTTCTCTGTTTTTTCCCCCCCTGTTGCGACCCTGTCAACCATTTCCAGAAGAAGAAACTGGCTTCTCGCCCAGCTTTCTAAATAATATGATCTATTCCCAGTGCCCAACCCACAGACCTTTTCTTATTTCCATTTGACAGACTGGGACATCTAAGACCAAGACAGAAATTATATCATGAGCCCATGATCTGACTCTCAGACAGTGATTTGCCATTCCATCTTCACAGCAGGCTTGCGAGGGAGTCTCTTTAAGCCACAAACTTACCCTCATGGTCACCCACAACCCCAGGATGAATAGAAGCTGTTGGGGTCATGGTTCAGCTGGTAAGACCACCTGCCCTCCTGGCTGTGCCCTTTCCAGGTCCTTCACCTTGGTTTCTATGGGACCAACAGGGGTGTCATCCAGTGCAGCACAAATGTCCAGGGTCAGCCCCTGCAAGAAGAAATTCACTTCTATAACATTTACTAACTCTGTAGCAAACAGGGACCTAGGTTCACTTGGGGAGCAGTGAGGGAGAGGGATCTTAATGAATCCAATGGATCCCTGCCCTCCCACAGAGAGCTCATAGGCTAAGAAGTGGGATAATTCACTTATGAGAAGCTAGAGTATCCTAAGGACCACAATAGTAACAGTTGTGATGGTTTAAAAACATGTCCATAAGTTCTTTCACACTCTTCTTATCCAAAGGGGGAATCTAATTCCTCTCCCCTTAAGTATGGGTCCGCCTTGGTGACTTGCTTCTCATGACTACAAGGTGGAGGAAGTGATACTGTGTGATTTCCAAGGTAAGTTAGAAAAAGGGATATAGCTACTGCCTGGCTGTTTCCTGGGACCCTCACCCTTGAAAACCCAGTCACGGGACTCCAAGGAAGCCTGGATTACTTGAGAAACCATATGTGGGTGTTCTGATCGGCTCCAGCTAAGGCTCCTGACAGCCAGCTTTAAATACTACATATAGAAGTGGACATGGCTTCAGATGATCCCAGCCTTTGTGCCTCTCCAGTTATGGGCCATCTTTACTAAGTCCCTGCCATCTTACAGATTCATGAGCAAAATAAATGCGTATTAAGCCACCAAATCTTGAGGGTGGTTTGTTATGCAGCAATAGATAACTGGGTCTGTACTAAACTGTATTGTACATTTACTAGAAGCCAAACATTGTGCTAAACACATTACAGAGTTATATTCACATTGAATCCTCCAGACCATCCTATTGGGTAGATACTATGGGAATCTCCATATTGTGGAGGAGTGAAGCTCGGAGTGATCACATGACTTACCGTAATCATAGAGCTTATAAGTGGCAGAACCAACCCCCAAGGCAGTAGTGTGCTGATAAATGTTCACCAACCAGTGAGGGGTGGGAGTTGGGGGGCGGGGGGGCCAGGGAATCAAGACCTGCAGTGTTTGCCAATTTCCACAGTGTAAATTCTCCCACCATGGCTGATTTCAAGCTAACAGCACCTCAAGAGAAGTTGGGAAGAGATGGGCACACTCCAGGCAGCACTCCAGGCAGCTCTCCAGGAGGTTTGGGCCAGCTCCGGTGCACCACTGGGTGGAGGCCGCCAACACCAGGAACCGTGTCCTGAGATGCCAGGGACTGTAGTGAGCACTGGTCAGGGGAGTCTTCTTGAAATGTAGGTAGAGCTGTGGAAAAGTCCTTTGGGGCATTCGTGCATGCCGTTTACCAAACTGTGCCAGACACTATTGTAGTCACTGATCATTAGTGTCATGTAACACAGACAAGGTCTCTGGAATTTTCTTTTCAGCAGGACAGAGACCGAGAGACTCAAAGGCATAGGGCATATTGAGAAATTGCAGTTATTCTAGGAGTGGCAGATGGAGAAGGAAGTGGAGCCCAGACTTAGCATGTCCCAGCCAGTGCCCAGGAGGGGAGATGGGCTGGCGTCTCCCTTCCTACTTCTGCTCCTCCCCTTTGGGGAAACCCTGAGTCCAAAAAGTCTCAAGTCTATTAGACTAGGAGTACCCCCTCCCAGCCCAAGGAGGCAGCTCCAGGAAAAGGAGGGGACATGGGCTTCCCAATGCTACCTCCACCAGCCTCCCTCCCATAGCCATCCCTCCAGGTGTTAGAAGTTTCCTGAAGTTGGCCTTGAGGCTCCTCAGGCTGGGTCCCTGTCCCCAGGATCTGCGATAGGGATAAGAATCAGTGCACAATCCTGAAGTAATATCCACTTGGAGCTGATTCTTAACTAGAAGGAAAAAAAAAATGCTTCTAATCCAAAGGATTCTGTGCTCAGCAGGGAAGAAATACCTTGTCCAAGCACAGCTTCAGCAGAGAGAGAATTATGAGGAATCACTCTCTTCCAAGATGACTACATCCAACTGGTGTGATTTCTTCCAAGGAAGGGGATTTATTTATTTTTTTAATATACAAGATTGAAAATACTTAAAGCATGACATGTACAATTATTAAAAAGTTACTGAAATGTGAAGAATTAAGTTTTCCTGAAGTCTTGGATTGTGCAGAGTGGGGGTAGGGCAAGTCACTGAGGGGATCACAGTGCAAACAGAACATAGTTTAAACCAGATTTCCGAGGTCACTGCTCCTAAAGGCGGTGGCTGGACTGACACAGGGAGGAGATCCTTCCAGCAACACTCTCCTCAGCCCCGCCCCTCCCAGGCTCCAGTGGGTTCTCTTCAAGTCCCAGTGCTACCCCAAGACTGTCTTCCAGTTTATTAGGAAAAACTATGGATCTGCTCTTTCTATAAAATTGTCTCTCTCCTGCCATGGGAGAATCTTTAAAAAAATGAACAAACAATTTTTTCTTCCATTTGATAAAATTCACACATGTACTTTGTTAAAAATATCCAAAATGGGGGGCTCCTGGGTGGCTCAGTCAGTTAAGTGTCTGCCTTTGGCTCAGGTCATGATCCCAGGGTCCTGGGATGGAGCCCCCACATCCACATCCGGCTCCTCCCTGCTTGTGCTCTCAGTCAAATAAAGAAAATAAAATCTTAAAAAAAAAATAAAAATAAATAAAAACTAAAAACCTTTTTTTAAGAAATACCCAAAATGAAAGAAAATAAAAAGTTGGGCCTCATTCTGTCTACCCTCAGTCTCTGCTAGAGGCACTATTACTAGGGCTTTTTCTTTTTGTCTTTTTCTAGAAGCAGTCTATGTACATGATACACACCCCCCCACACACAGACATATATATCCCTCATCCTGCTTGACCTGTTGGGAGCATATATCCCAGCCCTTCTGCTCTCCCTCCCTCCCTCCCTCCTTCTCTCCTACTCCACACAGTGGTGCCACTAGGCCTTGAACATGGGCATGGCTCTCCTTGTTCTCGCGTCTCAATCAATGCAGCTTTGGAAGATCCTTTCATGGGTCTATTTTATTTCTCAATCTCTAAATATCAGAGGGCTCCAGGGCAGCGACCTTTGCCTCTTTTCTACCTACATTCACTCCCTAAGCAGCACCTTCTCCAGCCCCCCCGCCTTGCAGAGCACCCTCACCTGAGCTGGGTTCTCTCATTCTTCCACTTGCTGCCCCAGACCCACTCTCCACCCTTCTCCTCCCAGCTCTGCGCCCGGGGACTGACCTTTCTGGCTTTCCATGGGGTTTGACCGCTGGCCAAGACAGACAGGAGTTCAGGGGGAGGAGAGTGAGGTCAGGATGTCTGTTTTCCATGTAGGGTTGCCAGGGACGAGCTACACTCCTCTGCCGAAGCGCTCCACTCCTGTCAGCCTGCAACATCCAAACTTGGATCTCAAAAATAAGTCCCCTTTCCTTGGAGGAAATCACACAAGTTTGGATATTGTCCTCTCCACTTCACTCTCTGTCTGTCCCCAAGTACCGGCAACCCTCACCCTTCCCGCAACAGAACTATGGATGGTCAAGTCCCCATCGCTACTAGCTTGGGGGGGGGGGTAGTCCTACTTTGTCCTAGTGGTTTCTCTGCACCCTGCTACCCTCTGTGAAAGGCCCTTTCATTAAACCCTCCTCAAATTTCTCAATCCAAGTGCACCAGCTGTTTCCGTCTGGAAACATCTGTGCTACAAATTCCGAATAATTCTGAGATTTCTATCACCCCTGAACTCCTGACCCACGTAAGTAGCTCAGACTACTGATCCCTCACCCCGCTGGCTGAAAGGCCGGCTCCTCGCAGTCTTCCCCACCCTGGTAAATGGTAACTTCATGCTTGTAGGTGCTGGTACTCTTACTCTTTCCCAGTCACGTCTGGTCTATCAGCAAACAGTGCTGCCACGAGCCACCTAAGGAATTTATCCTTGCAGTCCCGTCCGCAGGACAGCTCCCTACGTGCGTAGGGGTTAGGTTAAAGGGTAGGTTCCTTTGAAATTCTGATTATATTGCCGAGTTGTTCTCCAACCTGGAAGGCCCAGCCCGTTCCTGTCCGCCCCGCCCCCTTCCCCCCTCCCCCCAGCAGTGGGTATCGCTCCTGTTTCCCCACCTCTATCACGCAGTATCAGACTTTTCGATCTTGGTTAACACAGATCGGTATGTTGGTGTCTAACCGGCAATTCTACGGGGTGGGAGAAGCGAAGCCCTCTTCCCGGGGAACGTCCCCGGGGGTCTGCTGGAGCCAAGCGTGCGACCCTGCCCCCCGCCCCCGGCCGGGCGCCCCGCAGACTGCGCCAACGGCTCCACTCGCTCCCTGGTTTTCCGCGCTTTCCTCCCCCGCCCCCCAAGTTTCTGATTCCTGGAACCAGTCTCGGTGACCTCACGCCAGTGACTTCACATCCGGGACCTTCTGGGAATTCTCAGCGGCACTTTTTCGTAAGAAACCTAAACGGGGGAGGCGGGAGGAGGGGGGTGCGACGGAAGGAGGAGTGCGGAGCTTTTGGGGAAGAAGAGAGGGAACCGCAGGGGCAGCTTCCTCCTTCCGACCGGGGGCGGGTGGAGCTGGCCGGGGCGTGTGGCGGAGTTGCGAGGACACGCGAGTCCCCGCCCCCGGCGCCGCCAGCCCGGCGCGCGCGCGCCCCCTCCCCGGGCCGCGGAGCCCAGCCCGGATCGCTACTGGGATGGGACTAGGGCGCGATTCCCCAGGACCCAGGCTGAGCCTCGGCCCGAATTTTCTTCGGGAAGTTAGATGTGCGTCTAACATGGCAGCTCTGCCACAGGTGGGGTGCAGGTATCAAGAAGGAGAAGACGCAGGTGGAGGTGATTATGGACTTGCAGGTACTAACAGTACGGCGGGAGAGAGATGCACGAAGCCAAAAGGTTACAGTCGGGTTTTCCAAGCTCCAAAACTGCATAAGATTGAGAGGTCAAAGAAGGACACTCCTGATGGCTTTTGCTTTCTTGAAGAGGTTGCCTCAGAGCTGAGTCTTCCTCCAAAATAGATTTTACAACTGTGGTGGTATAAAGACGAATATGGTAATGTTAAGTATTGAGACAATTTCTTCTACCTAAAAATTCCTTTTTAAAAAAATTATTTATTTATTTATTTGACAGAGACACAGCGAGAGAGGGAACACAAGCAGGGGGAGTGGGAGAGGGAGAAGCAGGCTTCCTGCGGAGCAGGGAGCCCGATGCAGGGCTCGATCCCAGGACCCCGGGACCATGACCCCAGCGGAAGGCAGACACTTAAGGCTGAGCCACCCAGCCGCCCCTAAAGATTCCTTTTTTTCCCTTCTGATGTTATTAGAAGTTACCACATTTTCACGGGCCCTTGAAAGTATTGTGGGCCCCAGGCCCCCTGCCTGCTGTGCCCAATGGGTAAGCTGGCTCTGGGCAAAACCAGGGCTGTGTGACACGGCTTGGACAGAATATTATGGGGGCGGGGGAGTGGCTGGAGAAAGGCTGTAAAAACAGGTAGCAGCTGTACACGAAGAGCCTTGAATGACTTGAAGGAATATGAATTTTGTGTTAGAGCTGGTAGGAAATCGCCGCCTGGCTGGACTGGAGGACTGACAGTTTGGAGGTGGCACCGGAGGTGGGGAGAACACTGCGATGGCTGTTGCTGCAGTAGGACATCCTAAGTCTCAGAGCCGCAGCGGAGATGGAAGGGTGGGGAAAGGCAAAGAGAGATTTGGGAAGCCGGCAGATTGATGTGAGGGGGTGGAGCAGCGAGAAGCCTGGGCTGATTCTCATGGAAAAGGACAAAACAAAGAGGAGAAACTACGGGTTCCAGGACTCTGGGAAGATCAAATGGAAAGTCCTTCACCAGTAACAAAGCAGGGAAAATGTGCATACCATAACAGGCTTGTGGGTGGCTTCAGAGTCACCTCTTGCCCAGATCTCTGCAATAGCTCCTACTAGGCATTCCAACCCCCTCTCTGCTGCCCGAGGCGCCTCTCCAAAGCTCTCTTTCCATTGGGTCACTTTCCTTCTCCCTGTGGTCCAGAGGACAAAACTGCAGTCCACTCCTGGGTATTTCCAGAATTTAGAATTGAGAAAAATCAGATTGTGTTTTCAACACCCTTTACAGTAGAACACTGTTCCAGAACTTCAGTTGGCTTTCTCAGTCTCCAGTAACTCACCCTTCCCGCCAAAGAAACAAACAACAACTATACTTGACTCCCATCTTCCAATGCAAACATGGGGCTTCCTCCAGAGCAGACCAGGCTAAAACCAAGGGCTGGGACAGGAAATACACTTACGGGGAGAAGAGCTGGGCTACAATGACTGCTTGAAAGATAAACCTTCATTTATTCACTCTAAAACATGGCTCAGGCACCTGCTAAGTGCTTTTGTACCATTCTGGCAGGCACAGGGGATGCAGCAATAAACAAACGACAAGTGATTTGTCATGGAGATATTCTGGTGGGGGAAGACTCCATGTGGACATGGCACCCTCCAAAACCGGCCACGTGTTCTTCTAGAACTTTGCCTCTTCCTCATTAAAAGGTGGTGTCTAATACTCCTTGCATTCAATCCAGGCAGACTTGTGCCTCATTTGTAACCAACAAAGTGCAGCAGGAGTGATTTTGTGTGATTTCCAAGGCTGGGTCAGACAAGGCAATGCAGCTTCTGCCTTGTTAGTTGGGACACATGCCTTTGGAGCCTTGAGATGAAATGTAGGAAGTCCAACCATCCTGAGACTGCCATGCCATGGGGAAGCCCAGTCCACGTGGAGAGGCCATGCATATGTGTTCTGGCTGATATCCCAGCCAATAGCCAGCATCAGCTGTCAGACGTGTGTGGATGAGGCTTTCAGAGGTTTCCAGACACTAGCTGTTAAATTACTTCAGCCTTCACGTCTTCCCAGCTGAGGCCCCATACATCATGGTATAGAGACAAGCCATCCCCACTGTGTTCTGGCCAAATTCATGACCCACAGAATTCATGAGTGTTATAAAATGGTTGTTTAAACTACTAAGTTTGAGGTGCTTTGCTATACAGGAATAGTATTGAGAACACTGACAATAAGCAAATACGTGAGCAAGATAATTTTATATTGTGGGAAGTCTCATGAAAACATGAAACACCATGATAACTCGTTGGAAGGCCTCTTTTGATGGGGGGCAGGTGAGGAGGGGCGATAGGCGGGGGTGGGGGGGTGGGAATGGGTCAAGAAAGGCCTTTCTGGAGGGACATTAGAACGGGATCTGAGTGAAAAGGAGCCCAGCCACTGAAGATCTGAGAGAAGAGACTTCCAGGCAGAGGATACAGCAAGTGCAAAGGCCCTGAGGCAGGAATTGGTTTGGTAAAGATTATGTAAAGATCAAGGCCAGTGTAACTAGGGAGATGTGTGTGAGGATGAGAGTGGTGGCAACAGTTGGGAGAGGAGGGCAGAAAGACAAGTCATTCTGAAAGGCAGAGAAGAGTTAGATTTCAGACGGAGTGAGCTGGGAAGCCACTGGAGAGGATTTACACGAGAGCGACTTGATCTGGCAAACTCTCAGTAAGAGCTTTGGCTGCCAGGTGCACGACAGATTGTTAGGACAGGGGGAAGCAAGGAAGACCACTTGGGAGGCTATGGCAGTGGCCCAGGAAAGCGGGGAATGGGTGATGGCCCGAGGCAGCGTGATGCCACTGAAGATGGGGACTGGTGGCCAACTCGGGACACAGCGGCAGTGGCAGGGAGTGACGAGAAGGGAGGAGGCGCCCTGACCAGCAGGTCGGTCCCGGGTGGGGCCGCGACTTGGGTGAGGACCGGAACCCGCACCCGCCTGGAATCCCGGAGGGAGGCTCCGAGCAAGGGCCGGCCAGGACGGCGCGTACTGGAGTCCAGCGTCTGCCGCGCGGAGCCGACCCCTGGCTGCGCGCCTGCCCGGCGTTTCCGGGCAACCGCTGCAGCGGCCCGAACGCCCCAACCCGGCGGCCCGCGTAACGTCATCGTCACCTTGGAGACGGCGGGTGGGAACGCGCCCCACCTCCGCCTGCCCCCGCCCTCTGGGCGCCGCCTGGGCCGGGCCCCACTTCCAGCCCCGCCCACTCCGGGCGGGAGGAGAGGTGGAGCCTGGGTCTCGGCGGCAGGTGTGGCGGAAGGTGTGCAGGGCGCTGGGCGAGACCTCACCGAGAGGCCGCTATCTCCTTGGTGCACGCTGCCGCCAGCGTGCTCACCACCCACCCACCTACCTCTTCCCACCCTTCCCCCTAGTCGTCCGGACCCGCTCCAGTGTCATTAAGGTTATCTCCACGGAGATGCTTTCCCTTGACCACCCAAGCTAAAGTAACAGCCAATCCACTTCTCGTGGACTGACCTCGTTTTTATTTCCTTCACAGTTATCTGCTTATAATACATTGTCTTCCCTCTTTAAACCCCAGTTCCGTGAAGTCAGGGATAAATTCTGCCTTGTTCATCTCTATCCTCAGCATCGTGAATGGAACCTGGCAGGAAGTCGGTGCTCAATAAATGTTAGTCGGATGAATCACTGAATTCACGTAATCATTTCGTTCATCTGCGCCTTCATTTATTTGACATTTACGGAGTGCCTTCTAGGCACTCTTGATAAGCACCAGTGGTACTGAGATGAACGAGACAGGAACTCCACCTGGAGGTGAGAAACATACTAAAACTAATGGCTACCAATAATACTAAAAAATAAACATGTTGGAGTTCCAGAAGCTAGGCATATAGCTCCAAGCACTCTGCACATAATTTGCTTAATCTTCATGAGAGTAGGTACTGTAATCGTGCCCACTGTACAGATGAGAACAATGAGAACAGTCATGCTGTAAGCTGCTGGGCCCCCGTAATCAAGTGAGAGCCCATAGAGGGCAGGGGAGGGGGACATGTGGCCAGGGGCCCAGAGAGATGTAGATATTAGCCCCAAGTGGGTAGATTTGGTATCTTAATTGCTCCCACACACCACTGTCTTCCACAGGGTTCTGGCTCTTTCCAGTTCAGAGCCCAGGGTTCTTCCACAAGGTTCCACGGTGTTCCACAGGGTTCTGGCTCTTTCAGTTCAGAGCCCAGCTGCCCCAGGGGAGCTCACCGTGT